ATATCCTATAAATTCATATATGTAAACTATATATTTCTTTTTTGTCATCTTTTTTTTGTCATCATAAACTATATAGTTCTATGTCAATTATAATATAACTTTATACAATTTATCACATAATAAATTATGTATATAATTCAGAGTTAGGATATGATATGTGTAACATTTTTGTATATATTTCTAATACTAATGTTAGAATCAAATCGGTTAAATACAAATTTCTATAATAACTTGCCTTATTTTATTATCAATTACTTGCAAGTTGATACGATGATTACCTTATTTTGCCATCAGTTACTTGTCTTAAATGGTTTTATACATTTTATTAACTTTGTACTCAAATATGATTTTATACAATTTATCATATTATAATATGTATATCCTATAAATTCATATATGTAAACTATATATTTCTTTTTTGTCATCTTTTTTTTTGTCATCATAAACTATATAGTTCTATGTCAATTATAATATAACTTTATACAATTTATCACATAATAAATTATGTATATAATTCAGAGTTAGGATATGATATGTGTAACATTGTTGTATATATTTCTAATACTAATGTTAGAATTAAATCGGTTAAATACAAATTTATATAATAAATATAAGTGATAAAACATAATTATTATATATTTCTATAGATTTACAATATATAAAAATCAAAACTATTTATTATTCTTTAATTTTATAACCATATTATGGTATTAGGAAAGATATACCTTGTTGGTAAACGCTTTTAATTAGTTAATTCGTTTATTAATAACTTGCCTTATTTTATTATCAATTACTTGCGCAAGTTGATACGATGATTACCTTATTTTGCCATCAGTTACTTGTCTTAAATGGTTTTATACATTTTATCAACTTTGTACTCAAATATGATTTTATACAATTTATCATATTATAAAATGTAAATCCTATAAATTCATATATGTAAACTATATATTTCTTTCTTGTCATCTTTTTTTTGTCATCATAAACTATATAGTTCTATGTCAATTATAATATAACTTTATACAATTTATCACATAATAAATTATGTATATAATTCAGAGTTAGAATATGATATGTGTAACATTTTTGTATATATTTCTAATACTAATGTTAGAATTAAATCGGTTTAATGCAAATTTCTATATTAAATATAAGTGATAAAACATAATTATTATATATTTCTATAGATTTAAAATATATCAAAATCAAAACTATTTATTATTCTTTAATTTTATAACCATATTATGGTATTAGGAAAGATATACCTTGTTGGTAAAGACTTTTAATTAGTTGATTTGTTTATTAATAACCTGTCTTATTTTATTATCAATTACTTGCGCAAGTTGATAAGATGATTACCTTATTTTGCCATCAGTTACTTGTCTTAAATGGTATGTTAATTATTGCAAATTTATGACAGTCAATTTTTAATATCTTTCTTTAATTGTTTCATGTTTATTAAAAGAAAAAAATATTACAAGAACCAGAAGACTTTATATATCTCAAGAAATGCCTTTACAAGAATTTTTATAACAAATATTTCAGGAACCATAAGACTTAATGCTAAAATATGATTATTAATTCATAATTATTCTTTAAATTTGATATATTCTGAATTTTTATTATATATAATTCTAAACAAAATAATCTTTTTCGGAAGTATTTTTTTAAATATACATTTAATTGACAAATTTAAAAGTTAAATTTTTGTGAAAATATATGTCTATTAAGTAAATTTCTTGTTCTTTTATGATGTCATTTATTAGTAACTATATACATCTGATATTGCATTAATGTGTATGTTCTTTATTTCCTAATTAGTTAATTCGGAAATATGATGATTACCTTATTTTGCTATCAATTACCTTGGAAAAATTTATATGATAATGTTGATTTGAGTTAGAAAAGCTTAAAACTATTATCCATTTAGAAAACCACAAATATAATGGTGATTTGAGATTTAGATAATCCAAAACTATTATCTTAATTATATATATATATATATAAATATGGATCTTAAAAATGTGATTTACTATATATATACATTTGTTTGTTTTTATATTAACAGATTAATAACACAGATGAAAGACCGTTTGTAGTTGATTACAAACCATTTTCCAGTTTGTTTCAATAGCGATATGCAGGTTTCTATGGGATTTTTTTATTCATAAATGTTCTTTTTATTTTATATTACTTATGAATTATATTTAAACTTTCATCACATTTTTTATGGGATTGTGATATCTATGAGATTTTTATCACATTTTAATATGTCACTGTCTCCTGTATATCTTACTTACATTTGTTTTTTTAATAGTTAATTTTTATTAAAAACATACTAATGATGTTAATTTTTTTTTTACTTTGGTTAACTTTCATTTGTTTTATTCTTATATACTTTTTGTGACTTTTTTAGTATTTGTTTCAGTTTAATATTGAATTTAGTTCACATATTTTTTGTGTATATATTTTAAAACATAATTTTTCTTTTAAAAAATTAAGCGACAAAGAGCCTAATTAAACTGATCCAAAAGCAAACCGAACTGAATATAAATTGAACTGGACATAAACCACACCGAACCAGACTAAATAAGGTTTATTTCAGTTGAAAAAAAAAATATTAAAACCGAACTAAACAAACCAAACCGAAAATGTAACGATTTGCCCACCTCTACTGCATCCTAGAGATTTGCACAAATCTTGTCTCAGCATTGAAACTCTCACTTGTTCCATTAAGTCCCACATTTGAACTCAATAGATACTTCTGTCTCAGCATTATACTATATTTTTATATCCGCACAGGGTGCGGATGGGTCACCTAGTAACTAATATTTTAGAAGAAACTCATATTATTAAAAAATATTTTTTAGCACTATAAACTTCAAATAGGTATCCCTTTCTTATTAAAAGAGAAACATTTTATAAGTTGTAACATTGCTTAGCATGCTGAGGTGTCATAACCTTAGCCCTTCTCACTGTCTAAATTAAATGATCCTTAACTTACTAGAAAAATTACAAACACTGCCATTGCATTTTTTATATACGACCAACCTTTAGTTTATATGCGACCAATTTTTGGAAATATATTTAATGCTATTTTAACAGAGAGAGAGAAAATACACGGTTTCTTCTCCCTTTGACATCATAAACATTTAGAAGTCGCTTCTACTTCCGTATAATGATGACCTTTAACCTGCACTACAATGCCAGTAAGACAAACATAAAGAATTAATCAGAGACCGCTATAGCAAAATGCTTTCTTAAATGATTTATACTAGAACATAAACACAGATAAAGCATCACTAAGAGAAAACACAGACACAAAATAGCTTTCAAATTTCACCTTAACCTAAGCAGAAGGCTTTAATCTCAATCCAAAGCTTAGAATTGCGTCTTCCATGTTTTACAGCTTATATATGGTTTATCTGCCTAGAGTTTTCTATCTAAGAATGAACCAAAGTTAACGTATAATTTTGGTTTGACTAACATCTGACAAAAGTCCCGCCAAAACTTTTAGATTTTTAACAATGTGATATTAATTTATTTAAATGCTTATATGCTTGCTATTCAAGTAAATAAATAGAATATCAATACATTCTCAATATATCTCATAGATATTACATACTCTATTTCCATTATTACATATGAATCTAATTCAGAATATTCTCTAAAGAGGTATACTTATGTCACCAAAATTACTCCTGCGCCAAGTTATATATCTCTCAAATTACGGATTCGGTTTGATACGATTAATGCTATTTAAGGGATTGATTGATATATATTAATAGCATGAACGTTTTTAACAAAATAACATACGAGATTCTACGGATGAGAATCTATGGAGATATATTCCTCATTAATATTTAGAGATATTCCCTATTTCCTAATTTAGCACTCACTATCTAACTATAATTAAGATGAAACGACCCCATTTCTTTCAATCATACCAACACATCAGCAATATTAGAATTTCTTTGTTTTCCACAAATTCTGGTGAAGGTATTTTACCAAATATTAATAATTCAACTCCTTGAATGATAACTGTTGTACTATGCTGACATTTGCTTATATTGTTATCATTACAGGATTCCAATTTCTTATTTTGAAGTCATCAACGTTTAATTAAAGATTCACAAAAACAGGAATTTGGGATCTACAATTTGTACTTTATTTGGTTTTTGAATTAGATTGTTTGTCAAATAAAAAAAGAGGATCAGTTAATAGAGTAAAAGAACCTAGAGATAGATAATAAAAACCGAATGAAACCAGAGTTAGAGAACGAATCACCTGTGTGGACCTGGTCAAAGATAAAATTGACTTCGAACAAACCCTAACCCCCTTTTCTCCCGACTCTATCTATGTTTTTTTTTTGTGATGATTTTGATTGTTTCTATCTTAACTGATTTTACAGATATTTAATTGTATAAGCCCATAGTGTATAGTTAGGCCTGGTAAGAATTTTAACCCATATGATTTTACCGCATATATTACCTATAAATATTTCTTATTTGTAAGAGATAATTACTTGCTTTATATTTTTCAGGTCTAATAAGAATCTCGACTGTATAAATATAAATATGTAAGGTAACAGTGAATTTTTTTTTCTTATCTATAACACTGAAAATATAAATTTAAATATGTAATACTTAGCAATTTTGTTTTATAATTAATTACATTGTGATAAAAGAAAATAAATCTGTTCCATATGTATATAAATTAAAATAAAGTGTTTCAAAATAAAAGAAAAAAACATATATAACTTAAAATATGTAAATGTATGAATAATTCAATATATATTTCATCCCGTGCAAGGCACGGGTCATCACCTAGTTTCTACTGTTGTGGATGCTCTTAGGGGCTGTTGGGCAAAAATAAATTATAATAATTAATGGTTATATACTGTTTATTGGATTAGGCTACCTTTGGTGCAGCAGTCAATGGGTATGGACATGGAATTGTGCATCTGGTGCTTCAGTCGTCGATTATTGCGGATAGCTTTAAAGATAGTGCAAGCGGTTTTGGTTTTGTTTTATGGAATCTTATTGGTGCTGTTGGAGGTATAGGTGGAACCGTTGTGCCAACGATCATGGCTGGTCATGTTATAATCCCGGGCTGGCTCTGCGCCTATGTATTGAGTGCAACATTAAGTACCATGATTGGGCTCTTGTTTTCTTTTTTGTCATTGTTCCAACTTCCAAGGGAGAAGAAATCTAGCTGCTCCATTATTTCTGATCATGAACGGTATCTTAAATAATTTTTTTTTCTAATCTTAAATCTTCTTTGTTTTGTATTGTATTCACTTCTGAGTTAGTGATGTGGCTTTTGTAGAGATGAAAAAATTGCTGCTGAGAGTTCGAACCCGGTTTGGATGGAATCGTGTGTGGCCATTAAAGATGTAACCAAATTACGAACATTTCAAATTATCGTATCGCAGGGAATTATAGTGCCATGGAATGCAATGGTTTTCTAAAAAATGTGGTTCTGACTCATTGGTATGTATCCCTGTTTCCCTTCTTGTATTTTGCACCCAAAAGCCAAACAAACAATGCCAAACCATTTATACATTTCACCTAAATTGTTCACAAAAGTAAATATATTTACCATGATGAATTTCGGTAAATCCTTGACTACTTAAGGTCTAACAAAACCAAATCTAAGTATTACAAAAAATTATAAACCTAATTATTAATTTTAAATATATATTACTACTCTATCATTTACATTATTAATTAATTTCACTTAAATTCTAGAAGTTTATTTTGTATTTTAACAAACATATTTTGATAAAGTGAACATGTAAATCCGGATATTCAATAGTCTGTTACTTTTTTATTAAGAAGATAAAACAATATTGTTGACCAGTCCACAGACTTGTTGGGTTTAATTAAGCTAAGCGAAAACGAAGTTTTTTTTTGGTAATATTTATTTTCTGGGAAACTATTTCATTAATATCAATATCAAAGAGTGATTACAAATGAATCTACAGAGCTAACTAAACTTTATTAGTTATCTGCTTCCTTTGATTATGTTTTCAATAAACCAAAATCATCAAATCCAACCTAACGAAAATATTCTTTTGCACAAAATTAATATTTTTTTTATAAAAGAAATATTGGTTGAGGTGCTCAACGTCCGGAAAATAAGAGCAACCCCGATAGTAGTATTTTACCATGGAGTTCTCAAATTATATATTTTTATATGTATATCTAACAATTATTATTTAACTAAGGGTATACTAAAATTCTTGGAAACCCAATCAAATAATATAACAAATGAGATATTTTTTTATTGGACCCAGTTCTCTCTGAGTTTATGGATATATTCCCTGCCGAGCTGCCTAGAGGAATGCCTCCTCTCCATGATATACATCATCACATTGATTATGTTCCAGGGACTTCTCTTCCTAATCTCCCACATTACAGACTGAGTCCGACTGATCATGAGGATTTACGATAGCAAGTAGGAGGTCTTTTGCGGAAGGGTTATATACGCGAAAGTCTCAACCCTTGTGTTGTCCCCATTCTTCTTATTCCCAAGAAAAATTGGCACTTGGCGCATGTGTGTTGACACCCGCACTATCAACAAGATCACAATCAGATACTGATTCCTTATTCCTCGTCTAGATGAGTTACTTGATCAAATCGAATCAGCTGTCATTTTTCTGAAGATTGATTTAAAAACTGGGTATCATCATATCCGTATAAGAGATGGTGACGAGTGAAAGACAGCATTTAAAACCAGATAAGGATTATTCAAGTGCCTTGTCATGTCTTTTGTGTTATCCAATGCCCCTGGTACGTTTATGAGAATCATAAACCAAGCCCTGCGACCTTTTATAGGCAAGTTTGTCGTCGTCTGTTTTGACGACATTCTGATTAATATTTCGCAGCACGCCACAGGTGTGAGTTTGCCATTACGGAAATTTTTTTCTTGGGTTATGCGGTGTCTTCACAAGATCTTTCCATTGACTCTTCAAAGATAGAAGCTGTATGATCTTAGCCAGTCCTGAAGATAGTATCTGACGTGCACAATTTCCATGGGTTGGGGTCTTTCTATATACGTTTTGTGAGCCATTTCAATACCATTATGGCCTCGATAACCAGTTGTATGCGTGATGGCAAGTTCACTTGGACTCATGAGGCTTCTATAGCTTTTGAGCTCATCAAAGAGAAACTTACAACAGCTCCTATCTTGGTTCTTCCTAACTTTGAAACTACATTCGAGATACACTGTGACGCGTCGAAGCTCGGCATCAGAGCTGTTTTAAGCCACAAAGGAAGAACGATAGCTTGCTATAGTGAAAATCTCTCTGGAGCTCATGGTCGCCACTCAACTTACGATGTGGAATTCTATTATATTGTCCATGCTATCAAGCACTGGCGCCAGTATTTTGTGCATCGTGAGTTTATTTTGTTCACTGACCATGATGCTCTTCGCCACCTTGATGGTCAGGCTAAGGTATCTCTTCGCGTCATGCATCTTGGATCGCCTACTGATGTGAGTATGGCATTTGTGCTTGGTCTACCTCGAACTCAGTGTAGATCCTAAAATTCACACTAAGTATTTTGTAGTGATCAAGAGTTTAATCAGAGGAAGAAAAATGATGTGGGCAACAATGCTCTTTAACACAACGATACAATCGGAATTAGGCTGGAAAAAATTGACTTTATTGAATAAGGGATTCGATACAAAGTAGTAAACAAGATCGAGAACAACAACGAAAAGTAAAAGTTATAAGCGAACTAGAACTCTATGGAGTGAGGTCGATGTGATTAGTGATATGCTTTAGGGTTTTTCCGTGTCCTTATGCTTTGCTTTAGCTCTCCTTTTATAGCATTCTCCTCCTCTAACTGCTTCCGCGATATTTGGGATACCACTTCGACCTTGTTAAGTTAGGTCGATGTCGAGCTCATGATAATCTTCTGTGGGCTTGGGCCTACTTTAATTATCTGCTGAAATTGGATCCACATTTGTCCCCAAATATTTTTCTTTCATTGAAAGATAAAGATGGCCCACTCAGACTCAATTGACAAGAGGCGGTTCGGTTTCCGTGACGGCAGGGATCTGACACGTGTCACCTTCCCGTCTATGGACCGTTAGGATGCGCCTCCTGTTCCTAACAGCTATTTGTGCCGTATTCGAGGTGAAACCTAATCATTGTCTTATCGTTTTTAATGATAGAGCCGTTTTTGAAGTCGGCGAATATCCTTTAAATACTTGGAGTTCTTCTTTTTCTCCTAAATCTTTCTTTCTCTTCTCAACTCTTGCTTGTACGATTTTCGATTTCTCTTTAAACAAAGATGGATATGTCCTTTACTTTTCCTCTTCCAACAACCCTTTTCTTTTCCTCTTCCAACAACCACTGCTGATCATCTTGAGGCTATTTATACGACATATGGTGTCGATCGGGGCGTCAAGATCGAACTATCCACCACGCTTGAGATCCCTGAAACTGTTCGTGACAGATTTTATGGAGCGTATCTCTTGTTCTTTGAATCCTGCGGTCTTTTTTCTTCCCGATTCCTGGACCAATCCTTGAAATCGTGGCTGAATTGGGTATATCTCTCACCCAGATGTGCCCAAACTTCTTGAGACACCTCTTGGCCCTCGTGGTTAGAGCTCGTGAAGAAGGTTTGCGATTTGGTTCAGAGGAGCTGCGCCACTTGTGCTTGCTGAAGCGGAACACTCAGAGTCCGGGGACCTTCCTTACGTCGCTGCGCGTAGAACGCCATGTTATCCAAGGGATTCCATACTGCGATCGAGATTGTACGTGAGCAATGTTAAACATACAGAGAAACCTCTATAAACTAATAATGTTGGGATTATACCAAAAAGTATAGTTTTTTATTAATTTATAGAGATTATTAATTTATCGATATACTAATTGAATCGAAACTTAATTTAGAAATATAAAATTATATAGATTTATAGAGTTTTTGAATATATATTAATTTATAGAGTAATAATTTAAAGATATTGTAATGTATGTGGTGTGCTTAGGTGTAACGTGTAAGTGTAATAAGTTATAGGATTTAATTAACGTGTAAGTGTAATTAAGTAGACTAAAATTTAATTTATTGTTTGATAATTGTTTGGATGTCAAAATTGTTTGTTTTTCTGAAAGTTACTCTCTTTCTATCGTCAATCATGACATCGAGGAAAACAAGTCCCCATGAGTCTGAAAGAATTTGTAACCGTAACAATGGAGCGGGATGGATCCGTTCTGGAGATGTGAGTGAAGCACTCGCCGAGGTCCTTCGCGAGGAGCCTCGACTCTCTCGTGTATTGGCTCGATCTGAAGCCAAAGATACTGAAGAACCGAAGACCGAAACTCTTCTGAGTTCTGGTAATCCGAATAGCTCAGAGGGGCGTGATCGTCCCCCGAAGAAAGCAAAGATTTTGGGGAACGATGCTTGATCTAGCCCCGCGAGTGAAGGTGCGGCCGCGAAGCCGTTTCCCTGGCTATTTTCCCATGTCAAAGATTTTCCGATCACGGATGATCCCGATAGTATTGCTTACTTGATTAGGCACTTCAAGCCGGCTGGGTATCCTCTTCTTTCATTGCAGAACATGACTGAGCGCGACGCCTACTTAAAGATGGCGGTCGCTCATGCTAAGGTCGGTTGGTTTGGCCTTTTGATCTTTGATGCTTACTTTTTTATTATGTGTATTCCTGATGCATTCTTTAGGCCATGGAAGCTAATAACGAATTCGCGGTGACTTTGGAAAGGCATTTTCGAGATATTCCTCGGGCTTAGGAACTTTACGAGGTCAAGAAGGTCGTTTGGGAGCTGAAGCTTAGTTTGAAGACGGCACAGGACAGAGAGCGTATCAGTATCACTCAATTGATTGCGGCCGAGAAATTGGGGAATCAGGCTGCTTCTCTCGAGGCTCGTCTTCGGGTCGTCAGGAATGAAAGGAAGTCGACTCTACAGCAGGTTTCCGTGCTGGAAATGTATATTGAATCTCTGAATACAAGTCACACGAATGAACTTCGTCGCGCGACTTATGATGCTAAGAAGACCTTAGCCGACAGTTATTTGGATGTGCTGATGTCTTCTAAGGAGAAGTGGGAGAAGAAGAAGGATGCGGCGGATTGCAAGATTCGTTTTAAGGAGGTCATGGCTAACATCAAACTCATAGGAGATAATGAATAATAATCTCCTCGCCTCTGACGAGTTATCGTGTCTTCGAGCTAAGGAGGTCGAATTAGGAGCCGAGCTCGATGTGGCAGCAGTGTCGGATTTTTTTGGTTGGGAAGTTGGATCTTCCTCTAATTTCTGAGGATTTACCCAAGGATTTCTTCTCTAAGGTTCCTCCCAGTGGAGATGAATCTGGTGGCGAGCAGGGGCATAACAGGGATCGCCACGAGGATGGCGAGTTTGATGCCGATGATTAGTTCTATCTTTTTGTATTCTTCTTTTTCTTTGTTTTTGTTTCTTTCTGGCGATCTTAATAAAGGATGAATAA